GGGCCTAAACCATTCAAAGCTTTATAAACCAGCAACAATATTTTGAAATCTATTCTTTGACACACAGGAAGCCAGTGTAAGGACTTCAGAACAGGAGTGATGTGATCCACTTTCTTAGTGTTAGTGAGGACTCGAGCAGCGGCGTTCTGAATTAGCTGCAGCTTTCTAATAGATTTTTTAGTGAGACCTGTAAAGACACCATTACAGTAGTCCAGTCTACTGGAGATAAAAGCATGGACAAGTTTTTCCAAATCCTGCTGTGACATCCAAAGCGAATGAGAGAGTCTGTGAGGAGGAGCTGTGTGAGCTGGTCACATCCCCCAAGTGTTTTTACTGGTTGGATTCACTCCTGGTCGGGTTCAATACAGCGAATCAGAGTTCCGACCAGAACGTCAAATTCCTAAGTTTCACAAGGTCAAAAGTCAACCCTTATCTTCGTGGGGATCTTCACTCCCATACCTTCCCATGAGAGCTCTTCACATAAACCATCCCCCCTCAGACATCCAAACCCCTCTGCATACATTTAATGAGGTCTTTAACGACTTTAAAACCAACATCTGTGTGTGGAGGTGAAGGGGACAGTGTGTGTGTATGACACAGGATCTCTGGGTCAGTGAGTTTAAAAGTGAGAATAACATTCCTATTATAAAGTGATTACCCAAACCCGTTGTGATTACCTAAAACAGTTCAAACAATACATGTTCACTAAAATACAATTCAAAATAATACATGTTTACTTCAATACAGTGTAGAATCATATCTTTTTACTTCAACACACAGAACAATGGGGGCTATCCACCCTTATCCACAATGTAAAGTAATTCACACAGCCTCTTCCCTCTTCTCTCTGTGAGGAGCAGCAGGTTCAGCTTTCAGAACAAAGTAACAAAAAACTAAAATGGCATTCATTTTTTTTAAATATGTCGTGTAGTAATAGATTTATTTATTTTTCTTCTCAAGAGAGTACCAGAATGTGTATTTTATGTTAGTATTTAAAATCCCCCCAGACCCCCCTGCAGGGGTTGGGTTTTCAGCATGTCAACTCTTTCACCTGTGGGGAAATTGCAGAATTGGCTCCAGGTCGCCTTTTTTATTTACTACAAGACAAATGTGCCTTTTTATTTCATACAGTTCAATTTGGATTGAGACAGGGAAATAATCTAAACCTCACGCGTGGCGTTTCACTGTCGGGGGGAGCGTGTATGTAATTACATTGCAAATACTGACTTGAGCCCCACCACTGTATGGGTTAGCCCTACCATAGATTACCCAACAAAAATACTCTGGAGCGCATGCGCAGATCTAAGATCCAGTAGAAATTATAAAAAAGTAAAAGTCTGCTGCTTATTGTTCTACTAGGCCAAAATAGAGTCAAAGAGTATATGAGAGTGAGAGTGTGTTAATTAATAATTGTTTGTGTGCGTGTTTCATGTATAGGCCTCTCACGATAATTAATTTTGTTGGATACAGTTTCCCGGAAATGATTGCGATAAACGATAATATTGTCGGCACCGTTGTATGACCATTTTAGACCACTGACATAATGATAATATATAATAATAATTCAAGTACATCCTTTCAAACTGCTAGTCACATCCTCATGTAAATGGCAATTTATCGAGGTCAGAAAAGTTATCGAGTTCATTTTTATTTATCGTACGATAAGTCAATGAATTGCTTATCGCGACAGGCACACAATAAAACAGTGGAAACAAACATGTTTGACTTTCATTAGTGAATGAAACTTTGTGCCCTTTATAGTCTGTGTCCATTATTGTGTATTTGTATATATTGTATATATATATATCCTATATATATGCTAAGGTCCCGCTGCTGACACGATAGCAGTCATTTCGTGCGCATATGTGTAATTAAACCGAATTAAACCCATGATATCAAAATCTCACTCCAGCCAGGTACCCAAAGTTGGCAACCCTGCGGTACATGCTGCTGAAACACATTAATAAACAATGAACCACGGCACTCTGGAGAAAAGTATAAGGTTGGAGAAGTCGTTATTTAATTTAATCTGGCTTCGTATGATTAAAAGCAACACGATCATCGACCCGACGCAGTCCCCCCCCGTTGTTGTTGTGAGCTCCGTTGGGGAGAAAATCAGCGATGTAAACGGTGACGTCATGACGCAGCAGCGGCAGCTGGGCGGTGTGAACAGAGCGGGAGCTGAAAAGGGAAACCGGAGCTGAACCAGAAAAGCTCTAGCTAGGAGCTAGAAAGGGAAAAGCGCTGGTGTGAAAGCCGCATCAGAGGGGCGTGGGGAGGGGCTCCTTATTTTCATCTAAAGTAACAGACAGAGAATCAGCACTTTTGAAACAGGGCTGAAACAGAGGGGATTATGGGATGCTGCTATGATCTGTTTGGTGTTTGGAGCCAAACACTTCAGAGACATGTTTTGTATATATCTGAGACCTATATGTTTTATAATGCCTTATCACTGTAATGATAACACAACGAAGGTACACAGACTATGGTTTTATAACTAACTCCTGATGTAAATGGATTAGCCGGGTAACTAACCCCAAAGAAAGCACAAGTATGAACATTTAAACACGTTTTATAAATTGTGGATATTGACGTCACTACCAAATCTGCAACATTATAATCTTGAGGGTGCGTTTTGCTTTCTGTTGTAATGTGATGCATCTGCTAGGAAATACAGAATGACCTGCTAGACGGGTAGAGACTTACAATGACATCCATTTGTTGATAAAGAAGGCTTTTTAAAGAGGACCCTGAGTCGTGACCTGCTCCCACTGCTCTCTGTTGTTCCCGCTCTTCACCATCTGTCCCACGCTGAGCTCAAAGGAGATGAAAGGAAGTTGGTGATATGAGCTCAACCTGACACCTTACAGCTCCATCTGCAGTAAACAGGCACCAACAAAAACAAGAATGAAGTTTGACTGAAATTAATGCATTTTTAGCTTTTACTTTTAATCATTTTGACAAACAAACAAATTGTATTTTCACACTTTGTTTTCACATGTTTTACAAAATATATTGTATTATTTGTTGCATTTTTGTTTCATCTGAAACCTACTTCTCAATAAAAGCCACTACTCGTGAGAATAATTTGACAAAATGTGCGAAATTGGACACTTGTGTTAATTTCTGATCACCGCCAGAGGGAGCCAAATGATTCAATATATGCTGTGATGAATAAAATATGCTTTTTGAAATTACAATTTAGTCGGATTTAGAAAGTGTGTTTTAACCACGTTATTGCTGCTCATTGAGAAGAATTGAGAGCTTATGTTAGTGTTAGTAAATATTGTTACTAACCAGTACAACCTGTTATTTTTAAGACTTTACTGTAAACTTTGGTTCATGTTGTTGTTGCATGTAAGTGTTTGAAAATGTCAACTGTGATCATTTCAAATAAAATAAAGTTACTTATTCAGTTACTTATTTATAAATGGCTTGTTTTGGCATTTCACAAAGATTTTAGGATGTTTTTAATTGTTGTCTTTTGTGAACCAAGAACACTGGTGACCATATTAGGCAAGCATTTAAGGATAGGCCTATACTACGTTATACGATGTGTGTGTATATTCTTTTACAGTATTAAAGTGTTCAGGGTTACATGTGAAAAACGAGATATGCTTTTCCCTATGAAAGTTGACAATTAATAAATAAAAGAATAACAGGCAGTTCAGGTAAAGGAAGATATCATAACAACAGAGAGGTAATCATAACATTACATTACATGTCACTTGTTAAACGCTTTTATCCAAAGCGACTTACATACTCAATACAGTGGACAATCCTCAGAGGAGCAATTTGGGGTGAAGTGTCTCAGGGACACAACGACATGCTGACTGCAGTGGGGTTTGAACCCTGATCCCAACACCAAGGCTCTATCCACTGCGCCACACGCCTGGATAACATGGTGAAATTGTGGGCATGCAGGTATTCAATCCAGGCTATACTTAATTTGGAAAAGTGCACAGCAATAAATATAATTCAGAGAGTGAGAAAAAATAATAATAATGAGACAAATCACTATTGAGCACATGACAGAAGTCAAAAGGTAAATATCAGCGGACACATTAGCTGTGGTGAAGAGGAGGACACTACACTGGATAACAACTAATATACTATTCCTTGCACACTTAATGTAAATAATATCCTAAATTTACATTTAGTTTTATGTCTATATTTGTTTATTTTCTACTCCTTTTCCATTTTCACATAATGTGCAATACCTTTTTTTTTAACATGCTGCTGTGACGAGAAAATGCCCCAAATTTGGATCAGTAAAGTAAATCTTATCTTATCTTATCTTACAGGTAGGAGTAGGAATTTACTTTTTAATTTATTCAGTAAACTAAATTAGATTAAGAAATAAATATATACAATTAAATACATAATACAAAATTAAAAACACTTTCATTATTTGTACTATTATACTATATTTATATATTCAGTTTAATATTTAATATTCCATCCCTCACATACTTATGTATATATAATAACTTGCTTTATATTTTGTCTTTGTTATTGTTAATTTGTAAATTCAACATGTATATTTTCTACTTTTATGTTTATTTCTAGTCTTTTTAATTTGTATTGTACAATGCCATGTCTTTTATGCTGCTGCAACACAAACATTTCCCAAATTGTGATCAATAAAGTATTATCTTATCTTATCATTTTTCTTAACATTGCACACAATGTACACCAATATTTTGTATTACTGCCGATTTAATCCATATGTTATTCCTTCTTATTCCATTCCATTGCAATGTAAATACTGTTATATTTTACTATATTTTTTATTATTTTTTATATTTTTCTAGTTCTCTACCTGTGTTTTTAATTCTTGTTGTATGTATGCACCACGACACCAAGTCAAATTCCTCGTACGTGTAAACCTACCTGGTAATAAACCTGTTTCTGATTCTGATTCTGATTCTGATCTTATTTCCCTCCTCCGATACAGTAGGTGTCAGTATGCACCTTGGCAGTAGTACACAATCTTCCAATAGACCCGTAGAAGAAGGAGGAGGGGTATCTTTGGTGCAGCAAGACGGTGCGAAACGGCGCACAAGTGGAGTCAGGCAGCGAGCAGCAGTATGTCGGAGAGTCAGGAAACCTCCGGGGCCAAAAACGGTGGCGACAGCATGACAGACCGGGAACTGAGGCCGGCCGTGGGCAACAGGGTCAGCGTGGTGCTCGGAGCTCAGTGGGGCGACGAGGGGAAAGGGAAAGTTGTGGATCTTCTGGCACAAGACGCGGATATGGTGTGCAGATGTCAGGTTGGTCCCCATTCATACTACTACCTCCATGATGCATTCACTTGTCATGCATTAATCTGGTTACCCCTCTCTTAATTTTGAGATCATGCTCATAGTAAATAGCGAGCATCTCATTCACTGTCTTCTTCTCAATGTTTTGCTAATGTCACCTTGAATCCCTGCTAGCAGCTTTTAGCTCCTCTGACACATTTTAATGTCTGTGAGGATGACTCCTGTCGCGTGCACATGACTAAATCCTGCAGGCACCTTTGGCCAACTAAAGTGACCAGGTGCATCCCTTCAGACCGGGCTGTGGTGCTCTCCATTGGTGCGTCAGAGAGCTAGCAAAGGGTCTCCAATACTGTTGGCTGCAGGCTTTTATTCACTCTGCATGGGAGCTGATGTTTCATATTATACTGTGTCATCTGTGGTGTTAGTCAAAGCATTATCCTGGTTTTTACCTTGAGCTGAATGCTGCTTTATCTACATAAAAGTTGTGCGAATTAATCAGATATTATGGTTTTAGTCAGATGACAAATTCGGTTTTTGACTGGTCAGGGAAAAAGCTAAATCACAAAATGTTTTGTCAAAATGTTCAGTGTCAATTCTGCCGATTATTGCTCTCTCTCTCTCTCTGCTTTGTTTTGTGTAGTCTTGGTTCAGTGTCAGCATCATTTTAGAGGGTAAAGGGCAAAATTGCCCCGTAATTCAGGCTATTTGCACCATTAATCACAATCTAGGGGTGGACATGTTGTCATTGTTATAACAATGCCTTTAAATCTCAAACATCGGGGGTCAAAATAGCCCTAAATTGCCCTGTGAATTCCTCTGAAATGTTCCTCCCTGCAGGCGTCACTTCCTCGGTAAACACTACACACTGTGGTTTTTAGACCTGTCCATACATGCACCACCTTATCATTTTGGACATGCTGGGAGGGGACATGGTGCAAAACCAGACAACGTACATAATCTGTTGACAACATATTCTCAACTTTGTCAAGGTGAACGAACCAATTATTATCAGGATATAAGGGGTGTTTTAAAACGTGCGTAGTTGTGACCGAGAGGCTCCCTTTTTAACAGATGTAAGTGTAAAGAGATGTGATTGTGCAACAAGTTGTTATTCACCTTCACTTCTTCTTCTTACTTAATCTACACTTTACTCTTGCTGTTGTAATACCGTACATTTCCCAGTTGTGAGACAAGTAAAGGAATTCTGATTCTGGCTATTTCAGCACAATGACTGTGTTGTTGTTGTTGTTTTATCTTATCAAGCTGTGTGTTTTAATGACATCCATGTGACCCCTCCACTTGTCTTTATCTCTGGCACGTTGGCTCAGTGTGGTTTGACTCCTGGCACTTTGTGATGTTGAATTTGCATGCACTCTAGTTTTCTCATGCAAAACTGGTGGTTTAGAGAGGCTGAAATGATGTCATGGGCCGGGCTAACTCAACCCTTTGCCCACTGTTGACTGGGAAGATTAAGTCTCTGGTAGACAGTCAGGAAAAGCGGTTGATGAAGGACTGGTCCCTTGTTTTGTGATGGTCTTGAACAACATACTAAAAGGATAATTCAGGACATGGTTAAACCATACAGCCCAGCACGTGCACTCCGCTCTGCATCAGCCAAACGGCTCGCTGCACCCGCTGTCAGACAGCCCGCTCCAATGGGAAGCTTAAAGAGGACTTAATATGTTTTGGGGGGTTTTCCCTTTCCTGTAGAAGAATAGAATAGGGAGGGATGAAACCCTCTTTAATGGTCACACATGCAGAGCACACAGCACACACAGTGAAATTTGGCCTCTGCTTTTAACCCATCCTAGTACAAGGAGTCTAGTACTAGGAGCAGTGGGCAGCTATTGTACAGCGCCCGGGGAGCAATGGGAGTGGGGGGGGAAGGGGGGTGTCCGGTGCCTTGCTCAAGGGCACCACGGCAGGGCAGGAGGTGAACTGGGACCTCTCCAAGTAGAAGTCCACACTCCATATTTAGGTCTGGTCGGGGACTTGAACCAGCGACCCTACGGCTCCCAGTCCAAGCCCCTACTGACTGTGCATTTTGAAATGGTCTGCTGAGGCTAAAATCCCAAAGTTCCCTTCAGAGGGAGTTTCTCTATGCTCTCTTTAAAACTACCAGACTCCGTTGACAAAAACATGAATTCTACCTTGCAGAACCAGAGTTGCTAGTCTACTGTTGCCTCGAGCGCTTTATTTGTCTGTGTTGTAACTTAGGTGACAGTTTTTAAACCACCTCTCTTTTAAGAAAGCTGAAGTCCAGCCAGCCTGTAGAAGAGTGTGGAGGTCGTATTTGAGTCTACGATGTGCTGATGTGTGTCACTGCATTCAGTCAACCTGGCTCAACTTTAATGAATAACTCTTTTTGTGTTGGTAGTAACAAGCGTCTTGGCAACAAAACGTGTGAAACATGACTGCTGTGTTTTAGCACAACAATGCAGAGTACTTTTTGTTGAATAAACTTCAAACCCTCTCAGTTGTTTTTGTTGACACTTTGCCTGCTCTAAAGTCTGTGTTTATACTGAAATGAGAGACTTGGCAAACTGAGAATAAAATCTGAATATAAAAGCTTGCTCACTTTTGCCTTTTTATTGGCTAGTGAAGAGGCAATTTTTCATGTCGTCAGTGCTCTTTGACAGAGAAACTATGTAAAAGAGACCATTTTTGAAGTTATCTTTAGCATTTTTTACTACAATTTTATTTTAGCTATACTTGGAATACACTGATACCGAATTATCTACGAGAAAAGCTCATATCTTACCACAACTTATCACCATCTCCATATCTTTCTTATCTTGTGATTGCTCGTAAATCTGTGTTCTATTAGTATCTGTTGATAACGAGTTGACATAACAAAGATTCTCCGAAGCCTCACAGCTTCTTGTTCCAGCAGTCCTGTCGAGCAAGAGACGTGTAAAAATAAACCGCTTTCTGGCACTCCCCCATATGTTATGGTGCGTGCGTGTTTATGGCTGTTGGGCTGCTGGAGCAGTTGATCTTTTTTTTAAATAAGCTTTGCCAGCAGGGTTGCTCGGTGTTTCTTACAGTCGAGACCTCTGAGTTCCTAGAAGTTACAGTTGAGGTTACAAGAAAGGAAAGAGCGGGTTAAACTGAGGGGGTGTGCTACCAGAAAAACAAATCCCCGGAGACGCACGGCAGGAATATTGAATATACATATCATGCTTCAACAAGTACATGGTGCTAAATCTTGCTAATTAGCCTCCAAGCTCCAACATACTCAATTCAAAGTCAAATGTGGCTAAAATGGTCTCACAATCCCAAACATTAATGCAAGCTGTGGCTTCATTCACAGCTAATCATTTGAAATAAAACATTCAAAGCAGAAAACCCATTAGAAAAGTGTTGTTTTTCTAGCTACAGATTTCTATTGACAAATGAGAATTATAAATGTGTGGAAACTAGTGACCCTTTCATCCTTTCAATATCTATCATATGTGTAAAGACCTATTCATTGCATTGAAAAAGGAGCCTAATAAAGGACCACAATAATTCACCTTGTCTCATTTATTACCTCACAGTTAGTTTACTGTCCACACAGCACTGAGGCCTGTACAGTTAAATCAATACGATATTAATACAAATATTTTAGATCGAGTCGATTACATTAACCAGCAACGTTACATTTTCTGGCGGTAGTTTGTCAAATGTGAAGATTATTTCTGCTTTTCTTTGTCTCTTATCAAATCAAAATCAAATCAAGTTTTATTTATATAGCACATTTTTAAACGATTTTTGGTCGAGCCAAAGTGCTGTACATATAATAAAAATACCCTACAGTAAAGACACTTTACAGCAAATACAACAGCACAGTTTGTTCAGAATATCAGTATGAGAAAAACGACACCCTCTGTCCTTAGACCCTCACATCGTACAAGGAAAAACTTCCAGAGAAAAACCCACAGTTTAAGGGGAAAAATGGGAGAAACCTCAGGGAGAGCAACAGAGGAGGGATCCCTCTCCCAGGACGGACAGACGTGCAATAGATGCCGTGTGTAAGAGATAATACATTTTACAGCGTAGGTAGACCGAATGTTTGGAAATACATGGGTCTTATGTTTGTACATTGATTTTGTTTGTAGCTGGGAAAAACAAAGTAAATTGAAAATGTCGCCTTGGGCTCTGGGAAAGATTTATGACCACTTTTCACCATCAACCTGACTTTGGAGTCAAAAACATTGAATTGATTGGTAGAGAAAAGAATCGGCATCTTGAGACTGAAGCCAAGTTGGTTCATTTGTCAGGCCTGGTCTGTAAAATCAACCCAATTCATTTTAGAAGGGTAGGGGTGACGGACAGAAGATGGCGGTAGATAAAAGGTCAACATTATTTGCCACATAGAAATGATCAGCTAAATCTGATCCTGAAGTTTAATTTTAAACTCTGCTACCAAGTTACAGTCTGTCATAAATAACAATTAATGAATACATTAACATAAAAGCAGAAGTGTTTCATGGCTAAGAAATGATGATAGTACAATATTATGGCTATATTATATGCTATATTATCTATTAGGTCTGATTGAAGACACTTGTCAGGCAGACGTATTTCTTGCTACATTTAACCACTTTTTACCACTTAAGAATGTATATAAATGGTGAAAAATCCCAATACAATACAACATTTAGACACCAAGACGTTGAGGAACACCCTTTTGTTTTGCCAGGACAGGACACACTGACTTGTATCAAAAATGATTTGACACAAATTCGATGCACTCCCTGCGGTTGCTACAGAGCTGTGTACTGAAACCAAGGTGTGGCTGTCAAACAGAGATGATTGTCTGTTCACCCTTTCACTGAATAGTGTTGTGTACACGAGATCTTCCAACAGTTAACATGGTTAATGGAAGGATTCACATGCACAGAAGTCAAACCTGTCTAACAGAAATCCTGCATACCTCCAGGAGAACAGCGAGTCCTCGGACGGGAACAGTCTGCTCTGCTCCGCTCCGAAAGTAGTTTCTCGTCATGTTAAAACTAGGGCTGTCAGTCGATTAAAATATTTAATCGCGATTAATCGCATGATTGTCCATAGCTAATCGCGATTAATCGCAAATTAATCGCACATTTTTTATCTGTTCTAAATGTACCTTAGAGGGATATTTTTCAAGTTTTTAATACTCTTATCAACATATGAGTGCACAAATATGCTTTATATGTTTGTTTATTATCATTTGAACAATGACAAATATTCTCATGAATATTAAACACAACAACCTCTGAACATTACAAATATTCGATTCAACCTGGAACCTCGGTGTGTGTGTGTGGTGTGTGTGTGTGTGTGTGTGTGTGTGTGTGTGTGTGTGTGTGTGTGTGTGTGTGTGTGTGTGTGTGTGTGTGTGTGTGTGTGTGTGTGTGTGTGTGTGTGTGTGTGTGTGTGTGTGTGTGTGTGTGTGTGTGGTGTGTGTGTGTGTGTGTGTGTTGTGTGTGTGTGTGTGTGTGTGTGTGTGTGTGTGTGTGTGTGTGTGTGTGTGTGTGTGTGTGTGTGTGTGGACACTGTGATGGATCGTTAGAGCTATGTGCAGCTCAAGGCATATCTGCTCGAACGGGAGCTGCCTGGACGCTGCAATCATGTTGCGCGCACTATCCGTGCTGAGTGTGCTGACTTTTCGTACAATGTCCCACTGTCTGGCTACCTGCATAAAGTCAAGTGCTCGGCGCAGTTGTCGGCGAAATGTCATTGAAACAGCTCCTTATATCCGTTAGCGCAGCTAGCTAGCACCAGATGCTAACAACAACAACACGTAAGGTGTGCCTCGCTCGCGCGAGTCGCGCCACACACATACACACCCTCCCGGTCCTCCCGATGGCCAGTCCGGGCCTGCCGGTGAGCGTGGAAGTGTGGTCTGCCACAAGCGGGCGGCAGGAGCGGGGCTGTAAGCATCAGCTTGTAGATGGTATTTTAAACTCGATGCGCTCTGAAACTACGGGGCGGCCGAGGACAAAAAATACACATGCGTTAATCGCGTTAAAATAATTAGTGGCGTTAATTTTTTTTTGCGTTAACGCGTTAACTTGACAGCCCTAGTTAAAACCAACATTTAAATAGTGCAGGCGGTTGCAAACAATCAGGGTTTGACATTGAGACCTTAAACGTATCCAGGAGGTGTTTTCTGTTCTCTCCATGGCTCCCTGCTGCTCAGAACTTTATACACAACATGTGTTTACTAATAAACAAACATTCAACCAATGTCTGATTGTGATCTTTGACACAAGTAAGGTCTGTAGAGAAATGAAGCTGCATCAGACTGCATCTTACTCTTACTCTTACTCAATAGACAGACATTTTATCAGCAACTATATGAATTATCAAACGATTCTTTGTTTTTTTTATACAAAATTGTAAACACATTTCTGGTTCTAGCAGTGTAAATTACTTGATTGTAAATTAAAATATTTAATTAAAGTTTTAAATAAAGTGTTGTGCTGTTAGTCGGACTAAACAACACATTGTGCTGTGGGAAATGGACATGTTTCAATATGTTCTTACATTTCATCGACAAAACCAAATGTGCAGATTTCACAATTATGAGGGAAATAAAGTCACACAGTTTTGTTAACATTTAAGGTCTGTTTATTTAAACTGTTCCTGAATGTGAGAGCTTAAACCTTTATAATAAAACTATATTTACTAAAATAATGAGCAGAGTTTCTGGCTGAATCTTAAAAATACTCGTCAATATAAAAAGCCAATAAACATTTTATTTAGTTGTAACCCATGTCTGCCCTTTCATACCGAAGCAGGAGGGTGTGAGATCCGTTTCCCCGGGGTCAAAGGTCCAGATCAGATAACATGAACCTTTAACACCAACCCGGAAACTCAGCCTGTCATTCAGATGTCATGCTAAGCCCCTCCTTTATTTGTCCATACTTTTTCGTCCACTCATAGCCATTCTACTTGTATTATGGGGGTCACAATTCCCCACATCCAAGCACGATTGAAAGTAAAATCTTTGGTTTTATGCTCAAACTTCTTTTATTTACATTTAAACAGATAGGTTACATGGTTTTAGTCTGAAGGTCTCTGCCAGTTATCTGTAACACACATTTAGGAAGAGTAACAGAGGAGGAATCAAAGAAACCATAATAGTAAAGTTATAATATGGACAATGAGCATGTTATTATGTCTCCTTAAAGTATATTGTGCTTGGAAATGACTGAGGTCAGGAGGAATCTTCCCTGACTCCACTCAAGTCTTTATGACCTCTTGTTGTAATCTCAGAGTGTATACTCAGTGATAATACGGCAGCACACAGACCTCAGCACAGTAGCAGGAGTGTAATAAAAGTAGAGTTTCTCATGATGGAAATAAGAGGCCGATCACGGGACACAAGGAGAACCAGGGTTAGGTTCTGTGGGGGGATGGGATGGATCATAAAAGTATCTAAAAAGGAGATGCATCTGTTCCCCCTCTCCACCTTCAGGGTGCTGCGGTGGCCAGGAATAACTCTGTGTGCTCGGAGCACATGCTGGGCTTGATTTACATCCACAGGTCACAGGACGCACTGAGATCAATTGGCACCCAGGGGAGCGAGCGCATGAATGCATCTGCACAGCGGAAAATATTACAATACTTTCCTTCATGCATAAGTCCTTTTTGCTTCAGCTTGGCTTGTGTTCTTGTCATCTTCTCTTTCTTTTTCATCTGTAAGTCCATGAGCTGCGGAGTATCTCACTGTGAAACACAAAGCAGAGCGGAGCAGAGCAGACTGTTCCCGTCCGAGGACTCGCTGTTCTCCTTCTTGGCTCCACATTGCTCTTTATCTACTTTGTCAGCTGTGCTAAATCATCTACTGGCAAATATGTAGCAATCAGATTAACACCCACCGAGCCCATATCGTCTCTGTTACATACCAGTTCAGTTCCCTCCGTCAGCCATCGTGACCCACCATGTCGTTTTTATGATTTTAGATTTTGGTAAAAATGTTAAATAAACAACATTGCTTTAGGTATTAAGTGCATTATATTAAAGAGACCCTACGCTTCTCTTTTCTGTAGTGTGTTTTTGTGCATGTAAATGTCTGCAAAGGCATCAATCCCAAAGTTTCCTCCAAAGGGAGTTTCTCTCCCACACACTCCCCCCTCCTGCTGGAAACGCCTCAATTGGACTCCTTTGTATACGACCTTATCATAATAGGCGCTTTCACACCGGAGTACTTTTCCCCGTACTTTTCCCGTTTAGTTCCGATAGTTCCTGGGATTTTGCGTTCACACCAAAAAGAGAACTTAGTTCAGAGAACTTTTACCCCATTTTTAGTCCCTGCTAGAGAGGTGCTACTTTCCTGGGGAGAAAAAAGTTCCAATTTCTGATTGGCTGGGTGAATTGTAAACCACGCCCCGTAAAACTCGGAAAAGTTTTTTGAAGCCGCCATTGTATTTGCTGGCATTAGCATTATTATCATTAGCATTAGCCCCGCGCACCAACAGAGAGAGAGTAACTTATGGCAACACAAAAAAAAACATGGGAGCGGTGGAGATGAGGAGGTGTCGGCGTTCTGGCGATTTACTTGGAAGGCTTCAGTAGAAGCTGCTGGGAGTCCCAGCAGCTTCTACTGAAGCCAGTCCCCAACTCCGGGGACTTCCGGCCGGGGACTTCGGGCGGCAGTATACGCCGTGAAGTTGTTTGCGGCCTGCCAGTAAACCCAAAGCAGAAGAAGTGACGTCAGCGGCTTCATTTGCGTAATCTTCCCTCAGGGAACTTATTCCGGTGTGAACGCGATCGGCTCTTAGTTCCATGGGTGTGCTGGGAACTAAGTACGGCAAAGTACTTGGTGTGAAAGCGGCTAGTGACGTCACTATGTAACACTCTTGGTTCTATTGGCTAGCGCTCCAACACATTTTATGTGATAGGCTAAGGGCCGGCCAGCTAACCAATCAGAGCAGACAGAAGGTGAAAAGAGGTGCGGCATCACAGGCATTATGAGAAAAATAATGTCACAAAATACAATTATGAACCTGAAAAAGAACATAATATGTTCTCTTAATAACTTTAAGAGGAAACTAGCCAAGAAATGTGGAACTCATGACCAGCTATTTGGCGGAAAAAGGCTAATTACAATATGTTTACATCGTTAAAAGCGTATAATTTAACATGCAGTACTACTAGAAAAAGGATTAGGTTAAGAATAGAGAAATTATCTTGCATGTGGCCTATTAACTGTCAGGGCCGTGGTTTATGTTTGGCCTTGGTTTTATGATTGGACTTGATTTGTGCCAAAAAAAGGCTGGATAGTTTGTCAGAGGGTTGCCAAACAGCACATGATCATGTTCGTTCGACTTTGATAGCGACTGGTGGCTTTAAAGGGTTTAAAGGGTGAAGTTTAAGAGTGAACTGCAGTTTGTTTCTGATGTAAGAGCAGCAAGTCTTTACAGGATCTTGATGTTGGTCTCAAAACATTATTACATAACACTTCATCCACAATAACAACAGTCCATTTTACTGACATGCAAGTTTACACTTTAGTGAGAATGTCACTCGAGATCTGAATGCATCGTGAGCAGAAGTCTCCAAGCAACCGCACAGAGCATCACACACACTAACAAACAGAGGCGAGTGTGTGTATGTGATGCTTGTTGCTACTCGCCAAACTATTCGGCCTGCCTTTCAGCCCAGCTAAACAAAGTTTCAGAGCGTCCATTAGGTGTCTCTGAGTTTCTGTTTGTCTCATCGCTCTCTGTCTCGTCTGCAGGGCGGCAACAACGCAGGACACACAGTGGTGGTGGACTCGGTGGAGTACGACTTCCACCTCCTGCCCAGCGGCATCATCAACCCCAAGGTCACCGCCTTCATTGGTGTGTAACTTCAATTCACTCTCAGCGTTGGTTCGATCTACACACACTTACTGACGTGCACACACCCTTCAATCAGAATCAGAATACCTTTATTCGTCCCACAGAGGGGAAATGTACATTTGTTACAGCAGAAAAGAGCCAAAGACAGCTTAATGTTACCTAAGAAGCATGCATAAAGAAAATATTAAAGAAGCATCTGTAACAGTTCTGAAGATTTAGCAGCCAGGTATATATTGCACAGTAATTAACAGCATTTATATATATATATATATATATATATATATATATATATATATATATTGCACATATTGCACATAGTTGGTATTTAACAACAAGGGGTGTTATAGTCTGTGTTGTTGTGTGTGTGGGGGTCTACTAGGGGCTGTGGTGGTTATATAGTCTGACCGCTACAGAAAGGAAGGACTTGCGGTTTCAAAGATTCAAAGGCTTTATTGTCATGTGCACAGTTTAGTTATGGCAATACAAATCTTCCCATGCTCCTCCAACAATGCAACATCAATATAAAGAAGACGTAAACAATAAAAAAAACACTGCAAGAAGAAGATAACATACATTATATAAAATAGCAGAGGATGTTGCAAGTGACAAATATGCAAATAATGGAAAGGAGAAGTGAACTATATATTAGGGCTGTGCGATTATGGCAAAAATCATAATCACGATTATTTTGGTCAATAATTGATACCACGATTATTAAATACGATTATTCATTGACTTTGAAAACATCCATTTATTGAACTTTAAAACAAATACAAATAATAATTTGAACAGTATCTTTTTAACTGTTGATTACCCTGAACGTATAATTCAACTGAAAAACCAATACAAAAATAAATAAAATAAATGATACATTTATATTTAAAATAATAAATACCAATAAAAGAGACCAGCAAATATTTTGGAGTGCACTTCAACAAGCTACTAAACATATGTAAATATGATAAATACAAATAAATTAGACTAAAATAAATTTGATCAAATATGTTGCACTGTCACAACCAAGCAAAGCAAAATAATCGTTTTTTTCGATTATGTTGTTTTCGTAATTGTGGCAGGCCAAAATCGTAATTGCGATTAAAATACGATTAATTGCACAGCCCTACTATATATATATATACATGTCAAATAAATACAATAAGAGAAGGATGCAAGTGACCGAGTAAAAGCTTTGCTCGTACACAATTACCCACGGACTCTCGTTCCAAGGGCATTTTTCCTGGCTGTTTTCTCAAGTATTGATCGACTGCTTTTAGCCGCGCAGCAGGAGCTCCATGTTGATGCTGCTTCAGTGAGAGTGGTGTTGGATCAGAGCCAGACTGCATCACATCCACTCATCTGCAGTAACTTCATTAGCTAATGGTGTCTTGCTCTTACTTCTTGGCCTCCAGCCCCCCCCCCCCCCCCCCCCCCCAAACGCATCTGATCTGCACTCTTACATGTGGAGCTGTATGATCCGTCAATATCCAATCACATTAATGCTCTTTCTTCTATCTACATTAATGCTTTATGCTGGCACACACACTCAGAAAGTCTTTCAGCTCAGTGTGTCTGGTGTGTTCTTGAGCACTTGCCCCACAAACAGATATGGGACCAATAGTACAAAAAAGTAATTCAATAAAAGCCATATTTACTTTTTGCCAGCTGTTCATGTTAAAAATGCGTCCACATGATCAGATCATTCATGGTATGCACATTGATCTATCCAGGAGGCAAAAGCTGATTTTTGTGTCCCTCTGTAGAGTTTTATGGTTAAATGGAGAGCATTTCTGGCATTTTATTCTCACTGCTGTCCATTTAAAGTTGCGAAAGGATTTAGTTTTTATAAAGCAATTGATAACTCTGGCCACTTAGCTTTCTTTTAAAACAGAGTACTGCAGCAACAACAAATTATTTAGTATTATTGGTGTTACTTGATAGTGCTTACAGACAAACTTATTTATTTCTCGGTTACACAGAAGAACAAAGGAGCATTGATCATTTCTCAAATCAAATCAAGTTTTATTTATAAAGCACATTTAAAAGTGATTTTTGGTCGAGCCAAAGTGCTGGACATGTAATAAAAACACTTTACTTCAATATAAAAAACAAAAACACAGGGAATAGTCAGGGGTCGTGCTCCGCTCTGACTAGAAGGCCAGAGAGAAGAAGTGTGTCTTGAGTGAGGATTTAAAAACCCCTAGGGTCTGGGCCGACCTCACATGGAGGGGCAGACTATTCCAGAGCCTGGGGCCAGCTGCTGCGAAGGCTCGGTCCCCTCTGGTTTTAAGCCTGGTCTTGGGCACTATCAGCAACAGCTGGTCAGCAGACCTTAAAGCTCTGGCTGGGGTGTAGCGATGGAGGAGTTCAGCTATATAGGCCGGAGCCAGCCCATTTAGGGCTTTGAAAACAAATAAAAGGATTTTAAAATCAATTCGGAACCGAACTGGAAGCCAGTGTAGTGAGGCCAGAATAGGGGTGATGTGGTCACGCTTTTTGTGGCCAGTCAGAAGACGTGCAGCTGCGTTCTGCACTAGCTGCAGGCGTTTAATTGAGGCCTGGTCCATACACACATACAGAGCGTTGCAATAATCCAGTCTCGAGGTAACAAAGGCATTAATAACCCTTTCTAGGTCTTTAAAAGATAAAAACGACTTGGTCTTGGCCAATAGTCTTATTTAAAAAAAGCAGGATTTGACTACGGTGCTGACCTGCTTATTGAATTTAAAAGCGCTATCGAAAGTCACTCCAAGGTTCATGACAGAGGGGAGGATGTTTTTATTGAGAGAGCCCAGAATATCAACCGGATATTTCTAAGTGTTGCACTGTCCCAACAAGGAGAGTCAGTTTCATCTAGCTCTCTTCAAACAGAGACTGAACTTAACAGTTTATTTATTTTAACCTCAGGCAACGGTGTCGTGATCCACCTGCCAGGCCTGTTTGAAGAGGCAGAAAAAAACGAACGCAAAGGAAAAGGTGAGTTGTTTTTAAATGAAAAAGTTACAAAACAAAAGTGTGCCTTTTAGCGTTTGGAGACTCAACGTGTGAGTGTGTTTCTGCAGGTCTAAAAGACTGGGAGAAGAGGCTGATCATCTCCGACAGAGCACACATTGGTGAGTCCTCTGTGTGAATGTTGTTTGTATGTTTGCATGCAAAAAGGTGTGTGTGTTTTTTGAAGTGTGAGCCCTGCCACCTCTGAGGAGTGTGTGAAGTGTGTGTGCCCTCTCTTCCTCCTCTGCAGTGTTTGACTTCCACCAAGCTGTTGACAGTGTTCAGGAACAGCAAAGACAAGAGCAAGCAGGCAAGAAGTAAGAAACCTGTTGCTTTCAAAATGGCCACACACACACACACACACACACACACACACACACACCATTACATGTTACTTGTTAGATGCTTTTATCCAAAGCGACTTACATACTCAATACTGTGGGCAATCCACACACACACACACACACATACACACACACACACACACACACACACACACACACACACACACACACACACACACACACACACACACACACACACACACACACACACTCAAACATGGAGGTTAGAACATTTTTTCTGTAGCAATAGGTGTGTCTTTTATTCCTAATCTCATGAGTCACTGCCCACACTGTGAGCCTCCTTGTATTTTGACTGAAGAAAAAAAAAAAACTCATGGATTGTCAAAAAATGCTTTTTGTTGTTGTTTGAATCGTTAAGGCATTTATTTTAGCTGTATTGTGAATGTGACTCACACTCTGATGTGAATTTAAGTAAGATCCATTTCTTTTGTCTGGATGATTTTAGATTTGTACCTTTTATTGTTGACAGAGCAACAGTGTTCCACACATTATACACTAAGGCTTCACAATTCACATAGAATTGTCCAAATTAATTTGTTAAATGTGATGTATGCTATGTTCTAAGTTAATAGCATCAGCCGTAGTTTGCGTTTTGTTTGCATTCTCAATTAAAACAACACTGTGGTTCTTAGATACCAACCTTACAGAGTATGAGCAAATCCAGAATGATATTTAAGCTCCATTTAGCACTATTCTGCTGCAGTAATTCTGTACTAAAAAGGTAACAGCTAAAGTAGAAACACTCAATATAGATACCTGTCCATGTTAACATATTATTATCCTCTATAATACATGAAATTCTTAAGTGAGATTGAACAGAAACGACATGTCCTCCTTCAGTCATTTTCACGTCCATGTGTACAGAAATGTCTTTCCACAGTGTCACACATGAACATTATCTCAGCTCTGCTCTGCCTGCAGGAATCCCAGGAAAGGTCAGAGGTCAGAGGTCAGAGGTCAGGCAGAGCAGCCCTGCAGCAGGTGGTGTTTCTAAACAGCAGCGTGTCATCCAGACACTAAAAAAAACACAATTTCCTGTTAGCAAGCATACCACGAGACTCTTAACGAAGATACCAGGATTTCATATAGTTATGGTTTTGATTTAAAGAAAAAAACAGGTATTCAACAAACACGATTATATGTGTAAAACGATTATATTATAATAATAAATTAGCCTGCGCAGTGAACCTTACTGAATGGTATGTTGTGGAGTCTTCACAGCATTAAGCTCAACTGTGTGTGTGTGTGTGTGTGTGTGTGTGTGTGTGTGTGTGTGTGTGTGTGTGTGTGTGTGTGTGTGTGTGTGTGTGTGTGTGTGTGTGTGTGTGTGTGTGTGTGTGTGTGGTGTGTGTGTGTGTGTGTGTGTGTGTGTGTGTGTGTGTGTGTGTGTGTGTGTGTGTGTGTGTGTGTGTGTGTGTGTGTGTGTGTGTGTGTGTGTGTGTGTGTGTGTGTGTGTGTGTGTGTGTGTGTGTGTGTGTGTGTGTGTGTGTGTGTGTGTGTGTGTGTGTGTGTGTGTGTGTGTGTGTGTGTGTGTGTGTGTGTGTGTGTGTGTGTGTGTGATGTAAGTCGCTTTGGATAAAAGCGTCTAACATGTAATGGTGTGTGTATTGAGTATGTAAGTCGCTTTGGATAAAAGCGTCTAACATGTAATGGTGTGTGTATTGAGTATGTAAGTCGCTTTGGATAAAAGCGTCTAACATGTAATGGTGTGTGTATTGAGTATGTAAGTCGCTTTGGATAAAAGCGTCTTACATGTAATGGTGTGTGTGTGTGTGTGTGTCAGGGTGCCTTAATAGCAGGGTCATTATAGGCTTTCAGCAGATTGCTCTGACCGGCTGGTGGATTTCAAACATCTCCACGCGTCAGAATGAAGTCACAGTCTGATCACACGTTGTTGAGCCAGAGTTTATCTCAACACTGGGAACACAAAGGGGAAATGTTCAGTATTGATGCTACAAACTCATAATAAGAATAAATCTAGTCATAGTGAAAGAACATTTTGGAACATTAACTCAAACAAAAGCAGATATATATACAGAATTAAAGTCTGTGTACATTATGATAAGAAAATGAAATCCTCAATCAATTCAAATCTGTGTAACTAACTACATAACTAATTAATATAAAATAAAGTGATATATAGCTGCACCTGGAGCAGCTCCAACAGTGAAATGCTATGTATGCATTGAGCATTACTATTAACACTCTGATAATGTTTTTAATGTAATAGTCACAGCTGCTGAGTACTTAAATGTCGCTTTGGTTATTGGATACTGCATGTTAAACATCGGCTAATGATGAAACGCGATAACCACAGAGGATCTATTTCAGTTCTGTAGTTTGCTTGTAGGATAAGCAAATGGAGCCTTCCTGTTATTAGGCCGAGTTACAAGAGCTGCATGTAGAGTTTGGCATATTTAAATGTTTCTATTTTAAAATCTTATTCGAGTTGTGTCTCTCTGATGTCTGCTCACGTATGTAGAGATGCAGAAAAAAGCCTAATGACGGTGGAAACTCTTTTTGTAGTGTCATCATTGGACTATTCAGATACAAATCAACAGTTGTCTCTTTTGTTATCTATGATTTACTGCAAGTAAAACGATTTTCACAAACATGGCTGGTCCACCATAGATTCTGTATCGTCTCCAAGCTCCAAAATACACTCGGTGGATTTCACAATAATGACTTTGTCTGAAAGTATTAAGAGTTTCACAACAGTTGTGCTGACTAACATGATTACATGTTGTTTTGAAGGTCCCAGATTATACTGTTTTACATCAATATATTATAGGTCTCAGATATATACAGAACATGTCTCTGAAGTGTTTGGCTCCAAACACCAAACAGATCATTGCAGCATTACCCATAATCCCCTCTGTTTCAGCCCTGTTTCAAAAGTGTTGATTCTCTGTCTGTTACTTTAGATGAAAAATAAGGAGCCCCTCCCCACGCCCCTCTGAGAGATATTTGGTTAAAAAGAACACAATGGTGCTCTAGGAGGAGATTCAGGTGATAAGGTGGGGGGGGGGGGGGGTTACCTTGGTTGGTGATTGGCTAATGGTTACACAAGCCAAAAAAACATGACATCATAAAGTGGCCAAAATCTGATCAGCTCATTTTCAGACAGGTTTTTATATAAATGGATCAGGACAAAAAGAGAGAGAATATTTTTTCCTTAAACTTTCAGAATCTCTTTACACAGAGGGGGGGACACATGTTGATGTATAACAGACATGGAAAAGTGTACTTTGCATAATAGGTGACCTTTAAGCTCACATGCCAATGCTTCTACTATTCCCCCCCCCTCCTCCCCCCCTCCCTCCTCCCTCCCCCCCTCCTCTCTTTCGTCCCCGTCCAGCCTCGGGACAACGAAGAAGGGGATTGGTCCGGTGTACTCGGCCAAGGCGGCTCGCAGCGGCCTGAGGATCTGTGACCTGCTGGCCGACTTCACCACGTTCTCTGAAAGGTCTGAGCCAATAGGACAGGGTTTTGATGAAATCTGTATCATAGTTTAACTGCACTGTGTCAACGACAAAGACTTTGGGCAATGATTCAAGTTTCAAGGCTTTTATTGTCATTTGTGCATACCGGGAGCTACAGTGTAGTTATGATCTCTCTTAGGTCAAATGAGGGTGTGAGTACTGTAACTGCAGTCCATTTCCTTAGCTGAGTTTCTTATTAACCGAGGAACTGCAGAAACTTTACCTGTATTTCAAAGTACAATCAAGCTCCAGTTGTATAGTTTGTTTGAATTCAAGGCATATTTCTAGGAACGTTTTTTTAGAAACTCAAACTCTGATAATTTCTTTCAAAGAACCCGAGTCAAAGCGGGTGTTCAGACCGAAAAAAAACTTGTGTTACACGAAGGGGGTTTCATTGTTCTAAATCAAAAGTTTGAAGACACACTCAAACACTGCACAACTTATGATAATTCTTGAAGACCAGATTTTAAAACTTTGCAAAATTGTCATGCAACCTACCTTATTTTCTTTACAATGATTGCAAAGTAAATAGTGGAAATACTGCTCTCAAATTACAAAGTTGTCTAATACTTTCATGTTTCCTGGCCTGATGTTGTAATTTTGAGATCAAAAGTTAAGCCCATTTCTTTCTGGAGCCTTCTGCTTTTTTAAAAAATTTTAGGCAGGATTGAACATGGCCAAAATGTGGTCTGTTGTTACTCTTCCTTTCCTCCACCAAAATATCATTCTCTTTGATGGCCGACTCACTTTTGGGTTGGAACTTCACTGACTAGTTCAAATAAACACCTTATTGTATAGCAATAAAAGAGATAACATTTTACATTACTGGTTAATGTGCCTTATCTGTTCTTCAGACACACAAAAATAATAAGTGTTTAGTTTCTGGGGCTTGGGGTTGAGAGGAATGTATTGCACAAAAAATGGCAAGATGTGTTCTTTGTGAGCTTCCTGTGTTTCTCATCCTATGGCAACATTATGTAGAGTGCTGTAACAGTTCAAATGAATCACAAACTTTGCTTGTTACAGGTATAAAGTGTTGGCTCACCAGTACAAGGCTATGTACCCCACACTAGTGATTGACATAGAGGGAGAGCTTCTCAGGTTAAAGGTAATAAAGATAAATCATTCACATTTATTTCACAATACCTACATTTGTCCGTCTTGCATTAACATGACGTGTGATTTTTAGGAGTATGTGTCGCGGGTGAAGCCCATGGTGAGGGACGGGGTGCACTACATGTACGAGGCTCTGCACGGCCCTCCCAAGACGATCCTGGTGGAAGGAGCCAACGCAGCGCTGCTGGACATCGACTTTGGTCAGTACAGCACTGTGTGTGTGCATGCACGTGCAACAATTAACAACTTAGTGTTAAAGGTCCCCTATTATACTGTTTTTCATCAATATATTATAGGTCTCAGATATATACAAAACATGTCTCTGAAGTGTTTGGTTCCAAACACCAAACAGATCATTGCAGCATCCCATAATCCCCTCTGTTTCAGCCCTGTTTCAAAAGTGCTGATTCTCTGTCTGTTACTTTAGATGAGAATAAGGAGCAGGTCTCACTTGAAAAAGAGATCAATGATCTCAATGGGATACACCTGGATAAATAAAGGTTTGAAATGAAATGAACTCCTCAAGCCCCTCTGAGAGATATTTGGTTAAATAGAACACAATGGTGCTCTAGGAGGAGATTCTGGTGATAAGGTGGGGGGGGGGGGGGTTACCTTGGTTGGTGATTGGCTAATGGTTACACAAGCCAAAAAAATCGTTATGACATCATAAAGTGGCCAAAATCTGATCAGCTCATTTTCAGACAGGTTTTTATATATATATTTATATAAATGGATCAGGACAAAAAGAGAGAGAATCTTTTTTCCTGAAACTTTCAGAATCTCTTTACACAGAGGGGACACATGTTGATGTATAACAGACATGAAAAAGTGGATTTTGCATAATAGGTGACCTTTAACTTGTGTATACTTCGTGCTAACTTTTTTCTCTGAAGAGTAAATGTTGTTTTCTAACTGCTAAGCGCTGTTCAGTGCATCTAAAGTGACCCCTTGATACTGAAACTCTTAAGCTTTATGTTCTTTACAAAAGCCTGCTGGGAGCTCACACTAGTTATTATGGTAAGTTTACTAACTGTCACCGACGTGCTTCACGTGCACGCTCACAGTTCAGCCACTTAATGCCACCTGACTGTGCATGAGCACCACGGCGTCTGAATCAGCACTCTGTCTTTCGGTCACTCAGAACCACAGAGTCATCATTTAAACCAGAAATGTGTTTTATTTGATGTGTTTATTTAACAAGCACAGTGCACATTACTGCAAATACACTAGTAACCCAAGAGGCTATTTTTCATCTTGAGTTTTTGGGTATGTTTCAGAGTCAACCTCAAATAATCGAATAATACAAATAAAAAAGTTATTAAAATCATAGAAAAATGCAACATAGAAACTAGGGCTGCTCAATTAATCGTATTTTAATCGCAATTACGATTTTGGCTTGCAACGATTATGAAAACAACATAATTGAAATAAAACGATTATTTTATTCTTTTAAGTTTTTAATTTTAATTTTTTTAATTTAATTTGTATTGGTTTTTCAGTTGAATTATACTTAAAGTTCAGGGTAATCAACTGTTAAAAACATGCTGTTCAAATTCTTTTTTTCAATAAATGGATCTTTTCAAAGTAAATGGATAATCGTTTTTAATAATCGTGATATCAATTATTGACCCAAATAATCGAGATTATGATTTTTGCCATAATCAAGCAGCCCTACTAGAAAAAAAAAAACTTCCTTTTACTGAAAATAAAGACTACACTGTATTTCATGATTAGATACTATCACATGCACAGCAGAAACACAAACATGAAAAAGGTGAAAAACATGAAAAGATAATAATAACACTTAACATACTAATCTTCCAGATGTATGTCACTGTAACATGTGATTACTAAGAGCAGTGATGCCACAAAGCAGATTACATTTCAGTGGAGATCAACTCTGGTTATTATCAAAACACCACGCTTGTAATAACTCTGGTATCAGGGTGTCCTGCACACTGAGAGACAAACAACCTCTCTCTGACTCGCTGGATTTATACAGGATTAGAAAATGTGGCAAGTCACACTAGCATCAAGCCTTAACTTTATTTCCCCCATCTCACATGAAGCTAATGTCTTTGCAAACATCTTATCTTGACTTGGAGCATGTAGGACATCAGTGTGTTTTATTAGTTTAGCTTAAAGGGCGTTTTGACTGCTGATCGACGCACAAGACGAAACGACATCTCTGTTTGTGCACACAAGCCGAGACACAATTCCTGACCCACACCTTTTTTGTTGAATATCTGGGTGTTTCTCAATGTAGAGTACGCTTGCTTGGTAGCACATGTCTTCCGAGTCACTTGCTTCAGAAGCGAGGCAAGAATACTTCCTGGCATTCGGAAAACGAAGAGTGGAACAGGCTAGCAAGTGTGCAGGTGTGCGTCATATGAAAGGCCCCGCCTTACATTTTCCGCCACAGATTTGGGGAAATTGGTCCGTCCGCAAAGCATTGTGGGGATTTTAAGACCGCGGAGTCTACACATGTGCAGCCTCGAAATTTCTCCAAACGAAGTACGCCGGGCTCGGTAGAATTCCAAGTATGCTGGAGGCACTCGATGACGTAGTATGCTTGAAATAGTGGCTCTGGAGCAGCTTTACTCGAGATTGAGAAACACCCCGTGTGTCAGTCTGTGAGTGGTTATCACCTCAGGCACATCCTGGGGTCTGGGGTCACAGCTGGGAATTTGGGGAATCTTCATGAGATTGAGTGAACTCTCTGCTTTTGTCACGAATCAGCAAGTCTGTCTACAGGTATTTGTCCAATGAGGTGTGATGTGTAGCTCTGGTGTGAATGCTTATTTAATCGGTTTGATTTATGCAAACCGGCTGAACCCTGCATTTGTCAAAATATACATTTCTGGTATGTCAAACACAAGCCTTCCTCAGGGCTGGGCAATATTTTTGACCAAATACTCGATATTGATACTGTGACAATATTGCAGGGTAGACTGTTGATGCTTTTACAAAATATTACCCAATGACAATTTGCAAACATTACCCAAAAGCATTATGGGAAACGTAGTCAAGCATTGAGAGAAGGATTATCTACCTAATAGAAGAAAGACAAAGAATAATTATTAATACATATTTTGTATTTCTTGTTGAACGGTTTGAAAAAAAAAAAAAGTATATATTATTAAGGCTGTAAATAATGATTCTTAGATTAGATCCAACTTTATTGTCTTTGCACAGAGTACAAGTACTAAGACAACGACATGCAGTTAGCCTCTAACCAGAAGTGCAACACAGAGTGCAGAGCGATGTCTAGTGTAATATAAATATACTGTGTCTCACTTTTGTTTGTCCACACTGTCAGACTTTGAAATCCTCTCGTCTTCACAAATCTTCCCACTTCTTTCCGCTGCATGTTTGTTCAGCCTGTATCTCAGTTTGACCAGCCTTCCCTCCTCGTGTCTTGCAGGGACGTACCCGTTCGTGACGTCGTCAAACTGCACGGTGGGGGGCGTGTGCACGGGTCTCGGGATGCCGCCCCAGAACGTGGGGGAGGTTTACGGGGTCGTCAAGGCGTACACCACCCGAGTGGGCATCGGAGCGTTCCCCTCAGAGCAGATCAATGTGAGAGGATACACAAATACTATACGATACGATAATACTTTATTGGTCAGATCAAGTCTGAAATTTCACTTGCATCACAGCAGCTCCATGTGTAACATCAACATAGACAAATATCAAGACACAATACATGAAAAACAAACATTTAACATAACAGCACAATCACTGAGAGAAAACATTTTCAACATAGTACCTTATACCACCCATACAGATGCAAACTAGATATTTAAAGTGGACCTATCATGCTATATTTGAATAATATAGTATAGGACCATACCTATATAAGGCATATTTATACTTTTTTTTTTTCAAAATACCAAACGGATCATGCATTTTAGCCATGCCTCATTTTGCTCAATTTGACAATTTCTAGCTCTGTTTTTGCAAGGGCTGATTCAGTGAGAACAGCACCATCTACAGGCCTGGCATATGTACTACAGCGTCTCCAGCGCTTTCGAATGGCAATGGCCGTGGCTGTCTCCTCCTGATTGGTGGAGTTGGCCCAATAGCCGTAGCGCCACTGTCCTGACGTCAGGACAGTGTTCAAATCTGGATCAGTTTTTATCAGATCCGTTGCAGCCCCTTTTTTAGAGATTTGGGTATGGAGGAAAATAGAGAGGGTTGTGTTTTCTGACACTTGGTGAGTTCCCTGGAACACCGGGGACACATATTCATGTATACAGTAAAAGACGTACACAAGTGCATTTTGCATGATAGGTCCCCTTTAAATGTCTTTTTCCTACAAAGATGGACAGTATATCCGCAGTCGGTTTACAACTAAGTTTAACTCAGATGCACAGTATGTAGTTTGGCAAAATGGACTCATGCAATATCCAAATCGCAGTAAGCAATTAAAGTAAAGTAAAATATATGAGAATATCAGATTTAAGTATTGTAACATTAACAAAAACAGCTCGTTTTTTTGTTTTCAGGAGATCGGAGAGCTGCTGCAGACTCGTGGGAAGGAGGTGGGCGTGACCACGGGCAGGAAGAGGCGATGTGGTTGGCTGGATCTGGTGCTCATCAAATATGCACACATGATTAACGGCTTCACCGCGTGAGTTCACCGTGCATTTTTGTATTTTTATGATTGTTACTATGAATATGGAAATGTTTCTGACAAAGCATTTCATAGACAATCATAGGAGTAAATGTGAAATAATCAAACAAATGTATTTTTGCAATAGATATTTCTATATTTCTTTTAAATACAGTTTCACTAGTTTTGTTTAATTTGTTAAAACTGAGAACAAATTGGTCTTGTTCACTTATTTTAAGGCAAGATGCCAATAAGTTTGTTAGCAAGTAAACGGCTCCTTTGTCTTATAACCTTCCTGTTTCCTTATGTCCCTTCGACAGTATAGCCCTCACCAAACTGGACATACTTGACATGTTTGAAGAGATCAAAGTGGGCGTATCGTACAAAGTCGACAACCAAACTATACCTACTTTTCCAGGTGAGCCGGTTTGTGAATGATTACTGCTTCTGTAAATGTTCAAATACAGTTAAAATTCAGAGAGGAAGAAGGGGCCTTACTCATTAACATTTCACATCTTACATTTGCTCTTAAATTTGTTTTTGTGAAAGGTCCTAAAAGAAGTCTAGTATCTTTGTTCTTATAACAACGAAACCCATTGTCTTAGTCAATTGAAGCTGCACCATTTGATCCTGATTAGCAGATAAGACGCTCCACCAATTGAAGTAAAAGAGCATGAGACTGCAGGGCCGTGTGCACATGCAGAAATTGAAAAAAAAGTTGACAGAATTAAGATAAGACTGAAAAACACAAGACTAAAAAGAGTTGAACATTGGACTCCAAACATAACAAATCCCTTCTGACACTGTTTATGAAATTTGACATCAGATCTGACTAATGTTATCATGAACAAGTTAATGCATCTCTTTGTTCAGTGGAATCTGTCTTCCCGTCAGAACTGTTATTTATAGAGAGCTCCATTTCAAGGCAGCAACATATTGATCTGTTATCATAGCTGCTTGATTGCGGTCTCCTGTAAAGCTAATGGTGTGATATTACTCCTCCTCCCCTCCTCCCTTCCTCTCATTGATTCTGTGCCAGCCAATCAGGAGGTGCTGGAGCATGTGGACGTCCAGTATGAGACGCTGCCCGGCTGGAAGAGCGACATCTCGCAAGTGAGGAGCTTCAAGGATCTGCCTGAGAACGCCCGGAAATACGTCGGCTTCATCGAGGAGCATGTCGGAGTGCCTGGTACGGTTTCACATTTATTAGAAGTAAATAATGTATTAATGCTTTTTGGGGTTTAAAGGTGGGGTAGGTAATTTTGGAGAAACCAGCTCGAGTGTGCTAGAATTTGAAAATACACAGCCGGAAAAAATCTGCCACTTCCTTACAGAGACCCTCCTCCAACACACACGAACGCGCACATGACCAATGAGGGCACGAGATAAGTCTGTGCACAGATGGAAGGCTGACAGGCAGGTAGGCCATCCAGTTACTTTAGCCGGGCCGGCTCAGATGTTTGGTCGTGCTTTTTACAGTACTACGGCTTCCACAGATGACATTTTTGTATGGATTTTTTGTCAAAGCACTTAAGATATTCATTGCTATCGGGATGTTAAGAGCATTCCATGGAATATAACAAAAAGTGTATCTCGAGCCGGTTTCTCAAACTTACCTACCCCACCTTTAATAGATAAGATTAGATGGACCTTTACTAATCCCCGTGGGGAAATTCAGTAGTTTAACAGCAACAGGGTAAGAATGAAAAACAGGACAGCACAGATTCACACAGATTAATACAATTAAAGATACAATTTAACATTTGAATTAAAATAACTATAAAATAAGAAATGAATTAAAATGAACATATATACATATTGGGTCATATATACATATTAGATATATTTACATGTGTGTGTGAAAACGGTGTGTGTTTTATGTCCCTTTCCTATAGTGTGTTATATAGGTTTTTGTGCATGTGCATCTGGTTTCAGACAGAGGGGGAAAAGAGGTGCTGAACTATGAGAAAAATAAAGACCTTTTTGAACATTAAAGCATGGAGACATGTCACAGTAGAGACACAAAATACAATATGTAAACCTGAAAATGAGCAGTAATTACGGCGTGCAACAGGTCAAGCTGATGGTGAGTTTCAGGATCGCCCTCTGCTGGATCAGAAGGCAAACTACATTAAAAGGGTTTGCTTATTGAATTAGTACTTATTGATATAGGCATGTGCATGACAAAATATTTCAGACAGGTAAAGCATTGCTGTGACAGCAAAGAGAGGGAGATGAGAGAAGACATGATTACAAAGTGATGTTTTAAGTGATAAGTATAAGTCCATCAAATACTTAAATAAACTCAAAGTGGCCTCTAGAAGTCGAAATAAGTGTCCACAACTGAAAATCTGACTCCTGTAATTCTTCTGTTAACGATTTACAGAAGTCAGTAAGAAGATAAATGGTTGCTTTTACTTAAAGGAAGCTGTAGAATGTTCCAGATCTGTTGTTTTAATGTTATCTCTGACTTGTGTGTGTTCTCAAAGTCTCGAAAGGTGCAGCTGAGTAGGCAGAGAAAACACTGGTTGCATCTTCATTACATTACATTACATTGCATTTAGCTGACGCTTTTATCCAAAGCGACTTACAATAAGTGCATTCGACCAACAAGATACAAACTAGAAGAAAACAGAATCATATAAGTACATCAGGTTTCATAGAGCCAAAACATTTCAAGTGCTACTCAACTGGCTTTAGATAAACCAGTCCTTTATTAGTATACAAGTGCTTTGTTAGCAATTCTTTGTTAATAATTTTATTGCTCGAAGTGGAGTCGAAAGAGATGAGTTTTCAGTCTGCGCCGGAAGATGTGTAGGCTTTCTGCTGTCCTGATTTCAATGGGGAGCTCATTCCACCATTTTGGAGCCAGGATAGCAAACCGACGTGTTTTTGCTGATGGGAACTTGGGTCCCTCTCGCAGTGCTGGTGCAGCGAGCCGTTTGGCCGATGCAGAGCGGAGTGCACGTGCTGGGGTGTACAGTTTAACCATGTCCTGGATGTAGGAAGGGCCAGAACCATTCACAGCATGGTACGCAAGTACCAGTGTCTTGAAGTGGATTCTCAGTGAAGTGAGCGGAGGAGCGGCGTGGTGTGGGAAAATGTTGGAAGGTTGAAGACCAGACGAGCCGCTGCATTCTGGATGAGCTGCAGAGGTCGGATGGCACATGCAGGTAGACCAGCCAGGAGGGAGTTGCAGTCGTCTAGGCGTGAGATGACGAGAGCCTGGGCCAGAATCTTCAACCCTGCTCTTGATTTTGAAAGCTAAAAGCTATTTTAGTTGATTTTTGAATTAAGAATCCTGGCTCCCCTTTTATACGCAGATAACCTGTGTAACCTGGTTTCTTGATCCTGTAAATCTACACACACACACACACCTGTGACCTGTGGCAAAACAACACAACCCAAATCAACACCTTGCTCTGCTTCTCTGTTTCCTCAGTAAAGTGGATCGGAGTGGGCAAGTCTCGGGAGTCCATGATCCAGCTGTTCTAGAAGAAGGGAGGAGACAAAAAGAACGCAGGATGCAGAGCAGCTGATCAACTGCACACACACACACACGCACGCACGCACACACACACACACACACACACACACACAGCCTACTACCTGTCTCAACTCTCTGACAGAGACACCATCATGTCTGTTCTAAATGCTTTATCACCAGATGTTCCCATGTTACAGACAAGACTCCCATCGGACTGACCTCCATCTAACATCTGGATTTGTATCGCTTTTTAACTTTTCGGACAGAACCACGATCAAGTCCCTCTTTTTAATTTGTAGCTGTTTATTTCAGACGTTCAAACTCACTTGGCCTCACCAGATGCCGGTCTGAAAGAGGACATGAGGGCAAGGACTCAACACACACACACACACACATACACACACACACACACACACACACACATACACATACACACACATACACACACACACACACACACACACACACACACACACACACACACACACACACACACACACACACACACACACACTCACACGGAGGAACTGTCCACAGATGTTTTGTTCAAGTATATTTTTGTTCATCTATGCTGTATTTTAAACGCGCTGTGCCAGTCTGGTGTAAATCAGTTTTTAACCTCTGCACTTTAAATGCTTTGGACTACTTCTTCTTTACGTTTTACTCCGTCAGGTGTTCACCACATCCTGACATCATAAAGGGATCTCTTTTTGTGTTATTTTATGTTTGACGTCGGAGACAAAGACTTCTCATATTGCCTTGTCATTCAACCAAAAAAATGTGCTTTTAAATTTCTTGTAGCTAGCGATGTTAATGAATTGTGCGCTCACTTCATGTTTATCAGTGTAGTGTAAGCAGGTGTGTTTTTCATTAACCCATATAGAGATATATCTTGTATAACTATGTAAAAAAATCATTTTCATAGACTGGCAACGTCCCACACACATTCATGTGATTGTTTATCTTATTATCATCGCCTTCTTTGCACTTTGATAAATATGTTGTGTAGAGGGAGGCAATGGTAACCTTTACACTAAGAAAAGTCTAAATATGGATTGATAAAAATGGTATGTTACAGATTGCCATCTTTTTTTGTCCATTCTTGTGCCATTTTCATAATACACAAATGACTCTTTATTTTGCATTTGGAAATGAAATGACTCCATCCAAACTAGCCAATTAAACTACCTGCTGCTGGTATAACAAAAAAAAATATGTCTAATTCTGCATTCAACCAATGTCAGCATAATGGTAAGAACAGGAAATCCACCTACTAAAAAAAAAAGGCTTTATTAGCTGCTTTTGAGTTGTTACCCCACCTGGAGCAGTTTGTTAACCCTTTAATTGTGTGGAAACAACTCTTAAAGGTAGGGTAGGTAATTCACTTCAGAAACACTTTTTGTTATATTCCATGGAATGCTCTTAACATCCCGATAGCAATGAATATCTTAAATGCTTTGACAATAAAAACATTAAAAAATGTCATCTGTGGAAGCCGTGGCGCTGTAAAAACACGACCAATCATTTTAGTCGGCCCGGCTAAAATAACTGGATGGCCTACCTGCCTGTCAGCCTTCCATCTCGTGCACAAACTTATCTCGTGCCCTCATTGGTCATGTGCGCGTTCGTGTGTGTTGGAGGAGGGGCTCTGTAAGGAAGTCTGAAGGAACGGGCAGTTTTTCTTTCGTCCGCGTACTTTCAAATTCTAGCGCGCTCGAGCTGGTTTCTCCATTCTTACCTACCCTACCTTTTAAGTATGAGTATGGTATTTGTTTCTGATATAATTGACAGCAATTGTGGTTTCTAGCGGTTTTGCCACAGGTTTGTTGGTCAAATTCAACCTGAAATAACAACTAAGACCACCAAAGTGTTTTTTCTGAACTCAGTTACTGATAATTATGGTCTGATGAAATGAACACCATCCTCATTCTTACAGTTATGTCTGCAAGATAAAGATTTTGATTATGTTTAAGGAGTACTTCAATGATTTAGTATTGCTTTTCCATAAAGTTGTAACACCAACAAAACACAGATTTTCCTCTTTTTTTTAACTGTCAAATCGAAGCAAATGAGGTTTGGGGTCAAGCTCCTTAAAACTAGTATCCTACATTTCCATAATGCTGTCACCATGCTGCTGTCACACCATACAGTATGAGATTGACATCAAATACACCCAGATAACTTGTGAGCGTTCATAATATTGATCACAAAAGAGTTATTTGCAGATTTTAGAAACCTGTTGCAAAATAGTTATACATTTTTATTTTGGGCTCACAACAACATTAAGTATAAACATGATGAAATGGATTAAGTATTATAAAAGCAGCAGTAAGTACATTTAGCTGGGATGCATTTACTGAAAAGTATTGATATTTAACATAAAAAAAAACCTCTTCTGTTGTCCGGTGACATAAACATGACACTCAAACATTTCTCTCAGGATATTTGATTAAAACTCGTTGTTAGTTGTGTTGTTGTTGTTGAAACCCCATTAATTCATCGCATAATTCTTATTTATTCTTATTATTGTTATCTTAAAGCTGACTATTGATAAAGAAATGCAGTCATTCTTACTGAGTCATTGTTGCTCCTGTGTGCCCCCTAGTGGAGGTTAACGGGAATGCAACAGTAAACCAGGATCATTCACACTCTACTGACCTGTGTATGTTTGCTATCTGTGACCCTGTAATTGATCGAATTGTTTCAGCAGTGCTATGTTTTCTTTCTGTGTTATAATGAACATTTATCTCTTGACATGCTCACACTGCCAACTTTTTACAGCCTGAAAATCTGCAGTGTCCATTTCTGTCTTTCCTTTTTATTCTGAACGTTTCCTTACCCTTTACTGCTCAGCCCTTAAACCTTTTTAAGGGTCCTATCTTGACATTTGGTTAAGACTAAATGAATGTTTTAAGCTACTTACACACATTGACATCCTTTAAATAATGTGTGACATGCAGTATTCTAGTCTATTATTTACAGCAAAGTCATTTTCAGGTTTAAAGAAAAAATCACATTTCCCCAAAAATGTGTCCTTGGTGTCTTTGGAAACTTTGGAATCTCCACTCGAATTGAAATAAAGTTCTGTGGGTTTGAACATGTTTGGCTGCATAGCATGAGTTTGTAATGGTGGTGGGGTTTAAGAGGTTAAAACACACACTGACTGACTGGTTGATTAAACTCTAAAACTCTATATGCATTACTGAGTGTTATAGCTGTTATGCAACATTAGATTTGATATCCACCTTTAAATACGTCTGGTGTGTAATGCATTTGAAAATACCAACCTAAAAGTGTCTGGACTTCCAGGAACCACATTTCTCTCTATCTGTATATCAACTTTTTTGTTGTCTTCAAACCGTGCAAATCTCTTTGTCGACCATAACGATAAGATAATATATTAACAATTATATTTTGATGTGTTGCATCATTCAAATACTTTCTACTTTATTAATACGTTTGCACAAAAAAAAACCTTTAACACATTTTCTACTGTTAGAAAGTTAAGATTATTAGATTAAGTTTGGTTCAGACATCTTAAAGTTTGTTGGTTGTTCTTGATTTATAAATATAGTAACTTTGCAATAGTGCTGCTACATTTGACCCACATAACAGGCTGTTCCTTTAAGTAATTGGTCTCTTTAAAGGTCTCCTATTATACTGTTTTTCATCAATATATTATAATAATAATAATAATAATTCATTTATTTTATGTAGGCGCCTTTCAAGGCTCTCAAGGTCGCCGTACAAACACATAAAAACAAGATACACAATACATAACACCAGCATAAGAAACATAAACAAGACAATGCAGTATATAAATCAATCAAATAAATGAAACAGGATGTGTGATGGATAATGATCAGGGTGGATATGCGAGTGTGAAGAGATGTGTTTTGAGACGTGATTTGAAAATGGGGAGAGAGTCAGTGTATATAGAATTATTATAGGTCTCAGATATATACAAAACATGTCTCTGAAGTGTTTGGCTCGAAACACCAAACAATTGTAGCATCCCATAATCCCCTCTGTTTCAGCCTGTAACAGGTGACCTTTAAGCTGATGTTTTGACATATGATAGAAGGAAAGGAGTTACTGATAACATTAACAATCTTTTACCTATCATTCATTTTATATTTACGTGTATTGTGTTGCAGAGCTCTGTGCATTCACCCCAGGCAGATAGTATTTTTGAATGAATTAAATTAATTGAATCATATCATTAGACAGTAAGTAAAGGATGATAAAGTTTCACATATACTCACACAAACCCGGGGAAAATGCCTCCATCATGTATCTACTTCTGCTCGTTTGTAGCAGGAAGAACCCGACAGATTTGGAAGTGTGAAGTCTTTGAACACAGCCAACAATACATTTGGTGTTTTAATATATTTTCTTCATTTGTTTGTCAAATTTGAGGGAAGATTATTTCCATGGCCCTCAAACAAAATATGTGGTCACCAGTGTGTATAAAGCTGAATACATTATATTTGGCCTCATGTCTCAAATAAATTAGGTCTGCATTTTTTTATAAAGGGAAACTGACCTTTCTACAGTATGTGGGATTTTTAAATAAATATAATATCCCGTTCTAATTACATTTAAGCTGAAGTAAATGTGCTTTGAAAAGCTCTTGTGTAAATGAGAACAATGGGATGCGAGGTGTGTATTATTGTGTTGGAAAGCAGGTAAGTATATTCACTCAAATAATAATTATATATTAATACTACTTTATCCTTCTATTCCACAACAAAGAATTGGAAATGTACTTGAAAATCCACAAAACGATCTGACAGATATATAGTTATAAATATTTTATCACAAATTATTTATTTGTTATTTTCTCCTTTCCTTTACCGATCAACTAAACTACCTGACCAAATCAGAAGTAGATAAACTAGCTCATAGTATACATTAAAATGCTGCTTACACAATGTCATGTCAGTAATAACAGAGATGGTAAAAGTACACACATCCTTTACTCAAGTAGAAGTACAGATACTCGTGTTTAAAAGTACTCTGGTCAAAGTAGAAGTACTGACTAAACTTCTTTCCTCAAGTAAAAGTAAAGACTTTGAAATGTACTTAAGTAAAAAGTACCCATAACTAGCAGCTGTTTTAAAGAGTACCTGACCTCCCTTTATATTAATAGAACAATAATGTCATTGTTAGCTAATGAATGTTTCCATGGTGAACAATGGCAACATGACAACGTTTTCATTGGTCCCTCTTCTTTAGAGAAGACCAGGAAATGATGGATACACGGATCGTGTTCAAATCAATAGGCACGCAATGACTCTAAATGATAATGATCACGCCACCAAACACACATTCAAACTAAAGGAACCAGCCTGTTTGGAAAATGTAAGAAGTAGAAAGTAAAAAGTCATCAGGAAAATAAGTAGTGGAGTAAAGTACTGATACCAGAAAGATGTACTTAAGACAGTAACGAAGTATTTGTACTCCACTACTTCCCACCTCTGGTATTAAAATATAATAATGAAAGAATCTATCAGCCAGTCTTTACTGCACTTTACTGGAGTAGGATTTTTAACTAGAATGTGTGCTTGCTTTTTAACTTATTTTCTACAAATCCATTATCAAGCATTTCATTGTCCATGTATATATATATATATATTACATGTACAGCACTTTGGCTCGACCAAAAATCGCTTTTAAATGTGCTTTATAAATAAAACCTGATTTGATTTGATTTGATTTGATGTATCTAGAATTGCTATAGAAACATTGTTGAATGTTTGTAGGAACAAGAGTATTTTGGGGTCAGTAAATGACTGTTTTGAGGGATGTGATTGCAGCATCTAGCCATAATTACTCGTAGATATAGAGCCTAGTTTCCTTCCTGAGCACTAGAGGGAGTCCTTTGACTGTAAATGAATGCTAAACACTAGTTAATGAACCAACCACCTGACTTGTTCTCCACTCAGGAGTCTATTAAGGAAGATATCATGAAGACGATACACATTATTTTTTATTTTAACCCCCTTAAAGCCAAACCTTTCACAAGATGTTTCTTCTCTGTCTATTAGTGCTTAGTATAATTGTGTGACCACAGGTTGGCT